AACAACTATTTAAATGGCATTTACATTGCATTAATATTATAAGTACTCTAGAAATATTTTAAAGTATACTGGAGGATGTGTTTAGGTTATATGCAAATATAACACCATTTTATATAAGGGACTTGAGCATCCAAGGATATTGGTGTCCGTAGGGGTCCTGGAACCAATGTCCCACAAATACCCAGGATTCAACAGAGACCATATGGCCCACAAAGCCAAAAACATTTACTATCTGGCTCTTAACCAAAAAAGGTAAATGACTCCTGCCTTATGTAATTAATTTATTTTCCCTTCTTCTGTGACAATAGCCTGATAAATGCATAAAACATCATAGCTTTCCTGGGCATTGAAAGCTTCCAATAATTATCAGATAGAGAATACCAATCAGGTAGGCTTTGCTGCTTTTGAATTACCTGAAGATTACAGAATACCGCTCCTTCTCTTTTTAAAACTTTTTTTCACAGAAGAGTAGAGGAAGGAAAAGGACTTGTTCTGTTCTTTGGCTCTTTCCTGCTTATATCTCTAAGGTCAATAATCTAAGTCTTCCAGGCTGTCTGATGATGTGTAGGCCATCTTTTGGCCTATAGTGCCGCTGAGTTACCTGAGTCTTGTTAGGGAAAAAAAAGGAGGAACATTTGGTCATGTGGGCTCTGGTTCCATGACATGTGCATTTAAAAACAAACAAGGAGATCATCAGTCATTAGGGAGATGGAAATCAGAACTATGAAGAGATACAACCTCATATTCACTAGGTTGGTGAAAATAAAAGAGATGCACAATAACAAGTGTTGGTGAGGGCATGGAGAAATTGAAACGCTCATACACTGTTGATGGGAATGTAAACTGATGCCACCACTTTGGAAAATAGTTTGATAGTTCCTCAAAACCGTAAACAGAAAGTTACCATATGACCCAACAATGCTATTCCTAGGTTTACATCTAAAAGACTTGAAAATGTATATTTACACAAAAACTTGGATACGGATGTTCACAAAAGCATTATTCATAACAGCCAACAGGGGGAAGAAACTCAATGTCCATTAATTGATAAATGGATAAACAAAATATGGCACCTCCACATATTATGTGCTATTACTTGGCTATAACATAGAATTAAATTCTGATACATAACCCCCCAATACAGATGAACTTTGAAAGTACTATGCTAGGTGAAAAAAGTCATATATGATCCATTTACATAAAATGTCCAGAATAGACAAATTCATAGAGACAAAAGGTACGTTAGTGGTTGCCTAGCCCTGGAGGGAGGGAGATACAGAGCAGAAGAAGAGAAGGAGAATGGGAGTGGTTGCTACAGATGGAGTTTCTTTTTGGGGTGATGAAAATGTTCCAGAAATAAATGGTAGAAATGGTTGCATGACTTTGTGACTACAGTAAAAACTACTGATGTGTACACTTTAAAGAATGAATTTCATGGTATGTGAATTAAATCTCAATAAAACTGTTATTTAAAAAAATAGGGACACTATTCAGCAATAACAAAAAAATGACCTACTGATACATGCCAAACATGGATAAATGTTAAAATCATTAACACCAAGTGAAAGACAAAACCAGACCTGAGGTTGCCTGGGGTTGAGGGCAGGAGAAATAATTGACTGCAAATGGGCAGGAAGGAACTTTCTGTGGTGATGAAAATGTTCTAAAACTGGACTGCAGTGATGGCTGTGCAAGTATAAATTTACTAAAATTATCAAATTATACATTTACCATAGCTGTATATTATGGTATGTAAATTATGCCTTTAAAAAATGCTGTAAAAATAGGAAAATTTCCTCAACTGCTGGCAGAAGTGTAAAGTGGTACATACAATCACTTTGGGGAGCCATTTGGCAGTCTCTAACCAAACCTGAAAATATGTGTACTCTAGGATGCTGCCATTTTACTCCTGGGTGTATGCCCAATAGAGATATGTCCACATATTCATTAAAAGGCAGGTTCAAGAATTTTCGTAATCACCCCGACTTGAAAATAATCTACATATTCATGTATACTGAAATGGATAAACATATTCAGGTATAATCACACAATGGGATTTAGCAATACAGAAGAACAAACTACAAGTACAGGCATCAACAGAGAGGACGCTTAAAATCACTGTAGAACAACAGAAGCAGGACACCAAAGAGGACATACTGAATGATTCCATCTTTATGAAATTTATTAAACAGGCAAAGTGAATTTCTGGAAGAGGTTACCCTTGGGAACAGAGAGTGATTAGGAAGGGGAATGAGTGGGGAGTCATGAGATCCTAGATGGGAGTTTCTTGATCTGGGTGCTTGTTACTCAGGTGTGCTCAGGTTGTGGAAATTCATCAAGCTGTGCACATGTTACAGGTACTGCACTTTTCTGTATATGTAGCTCTCCAATAATATGTTAAACACACAAATAGGACTGCACCTAGATCCCGCTCTCTCTTTGGCTCTAAAAATATCAGAAAACATTTTAATACTCTCATGTCTTAAAGAGTCAGCGATGAGCACTATGATAATTCAAATAAACCTAGTAGAATGACGAATGAATCTGCCATATTTAAGGACGGTTCTGTCGTTGTGGTCAAATTCAGAGAAGGCCTGTTCAGTGGAAGATTCTGCCCACTTCGACAATTTAACACAATGGAAACCATTATCTTCCCTAGCTTTCTTGGATAATAAAGGCCATGCATTTTCTCTGTACAGCTGATATATCATATGCTCGGCCCATTTTTCAGGAAAGAGCTTATCTGTCACCATCTCAGCAGTTCTGAGCTACCAGATCGTGCACTCACTTGTGATATGAATTCCTCACCCCCACAATCCATGTCCTCTGCATATAACTCTCACAAAATCCCCAGGAGACCTGCTTTTCTCAGTCAAGTTCTCTTGGGAGAAAGCTTTCTAGTTGGGTTATTTTATTTATTTTTTTTAGCTAGGTTAAAAAAAAAAATTAGTTCATGTGAGGTTTTCCATGGTAGCCCAACCTAAGATATTTCACAGGTTTGTGAGCGTCTTAATTCTCCCATTGTTCCCAGAGAATGATGCCCTCGACAATCTATTGTCCCCAAATTACTTGAATCTCAAGCCTTTCTCAGGGAACCTGGTCTGACTCACTTCTCCTCACTAACCTCAAACAAAATCACACAGACAGGAAGGAAATGCTCACATTCTTAAACTCCCTCTCCTCTTCTTTTAGCTCCTTTTCAGAAACATGAGCCTAGAAAATGGGCTCATTATTATCATGAAAGTGCATGCCACTGCAGTTACCTGTGGAATAGAATCCCACTCCCCCTGTTCCTACAAAGTCCACATGCCAATAAACTGTTCCCTTTTGTGAGGGGTGGGGGCACTCTTGAAAGAAAACCTTTCTACATAACGTACCACACTAACAATAGCCCAGTCTACTTCCAGTGTTGACAAACGACACAAGCTCTCCCTTTATTGCCCAAGCTCATAATTTTGAAGAAGGAGAGCACTGGGTTGGGAAATATCCCTTTTCGCACCAAAACAAAATTCCTTCTTTTTCCTTCCTCCATTCCAAGTAATAGGGCTTTGATCAGCCTTGCTCCCAGCATTTCCGGAGCTCTGTCACACAATTATGTGTTACACCTGAGAGGAGAGGTGTGAGGGTAGAATCAGACATTCTAATTTCCCGGGAGAGAAATTCATATTCATTTCACATGAGTACGTAGAGATGGAAAAGACTGAGATGCCTGAAAATGATAAACTTATGCATATCAGATATGGGGGTTAAACTGTTGAATAAAGGTTAAAAAAATTAGCAAGTGATTTCCAGTAGGGGGTGAGGCTGGCGTGGGAGTTCTTGCCTGGGGTGGATGGTAGTAAGACTGCTATATACTGGGGTGTTGGGAGCAATTCAAAGGTCCTGATGATATGGACAGGAGACAGAGAAATACTGGCCAGAAGAGGGCAGTTCCCCAGCAAAGGTCCCACACTCAAGCCTGGAGACCCTTGGCCCTAAGTGAAAACAGACATTCCTGTCTTCATGACCAAAAGTTGCCTTTTGGCCCACCATACCCCGCTATCCTGTACCCATATAAACCCCAGACCCCAGGCTCCAGAAGCAGACAAGGGGAATGAACAGAAGAGAGAAGAACAGCAGAATGGCATGGTAGGGAGAAGAGAAGGGGCATCTGAATGTCAAGGGACAATCAGAGAGGAGATTGGCCACTGAATGGCCAAACTCCATCATCTTCTCACTCAATACCCCTTCTAGCTCCTGATACATCCTGCTGAGAGCCACCTCCACCACTCAATAAAACCCCCACATTCATTCTTCAAGTCCATGTGTGACCTGATTCTTCCTGGACACTGGACAAGGACCTGGGTACCAAGAGGTCATTGAGCTGGTTAACACTTAAGCTGTCCACAGACAGCAAGGCTGCAAGAGCCCGCTGTAACACATGCCCACTTGGGCTTCAGGAGTCACAGACAACAACCCTAGTGCCAGAGCCCCAAGGAACTTGCCCTGGCTCCTGTACCTGCCCGTCTGTGTGTTCCCCCTCCCATAAGGTGTCTGAGAAGCGAATGGTGACCCAACAGATGAGCCACGTTCCTGCTGCAAGTCCTTCAAAGGTGGCGGGGGGCATGTCCTTCAAAGGCGGGGGGAGAGGTCAGGGAACTCTCCCGTTTCACTGATATCTGAGCTCAGAGATAAACTCCTGATCAACAGGGAAACACGTAAAAAGTAAGACACTTTCAAAAAGCTTTCTCTAGACATTGCTATAAGTTTTGAAGCTACCAGGCAGAAATGCAGACAGAATTATCTATTATTGGTCAAAAGGGCAATTTCTATCATACCTATTTAACAGAAGTTATTCCCACACCTGCTCCTATTTTTCAGCTAGACAAGCTCCCTTTAGCAGAGAAACATATGCACTTAACACCAAGTCCCAATTCCTGCCTGGCTTTGAATTCCTTTTAATTTAAAGTAATTTTTGATAAGGAATCTTCCTCTGGGTAAGGCACTTAATCCAAATATACCTTTAGAGGCTTCTGTCCCCAGTGGGTTTTCTAAGAAGTCTGTCACGTCGTGGTTCCAGGCATCACGGACGGCGGACTTGGACACCACCCTGTCATGCAGACGCTGCTGTGGTCGAAAGTTATTTCTCAGATACTCCACTGACTTGACATGGTCTTGCTGCTCCGTGGTGAAGATGGAATAAAAAGCCTCAAGCTGAACGGAGAACCAGAGAGGGGAGGAAAAAACAAAACAAAACAAAACAAAACAAAAACCATCAATTAGAAAAGCGATTTGGTCCAAAGCAGGTGGAGGTGATAAGAGCACGAAACGGTAGGAAGTGCCCGATGCCAGGGTTGCTAAACCCAGCAGGACTTGGGTTGCATGCTGGAAACACTGCCAACAGGCTCATCTGGCTGTGGTTTCTGTCCTGCCAACTAACCAGGAAAACACTTCATTTGAGGGCTGTACCACACTCTGAGTTTGTGCCTCCCATGAGAGAGTCCCAGTCTTTCTGCAGTGCCCTGCTGGAAAGGCCTTCAGCATTCTAGGAAGAAGCATAGGGTCACAGTGATACTGTTATGTCCCGGAGCCAGACTGCCTGGGTATGAATACTAACTTCATCACCTACCCACTCTGTGACCTGAATAAGCTGCTTAACCTGAGCCACCATTTTTCCTCAATAAAATGGTGATCATCATAACAATATTTACCCAAAAGGATTTTTGTCAACATTAAGTGCTGACAAAATATTTAATCCAAGTACAGTGCTTAACCAGTTCCTAGCATATCGTAAGAGCTTCATAAATATTAGGGATTTAATTCTTGGCATCTTCCGACATACTAGTGATCAAGTTTGGCAAAGTCACCAAGTCACTAAATGTGCGACTTGCAAGTCAAACTGCCTAAGTTCAACATTTACCAGATGGGTAATCAGGGACAAACTGTTTAAGTTTTCTGTAACTCAAGTATCCACAACTGTAAAACACATAATAATACTTACCTTATAAAGTTGTTAGAAGTATTAAAATATATGTAAATTGCTTAGTACACAGTTAAGTCCTCAATTAAGGTTAGCTGCTATCATTATTATTAATATTATTAAGAAACATCACTTACAAGACTGCCAATCTAACTTTTATTGAAAGTAAAAGAAAAAAATCAGGGTGCCCAAATCCTATTTCTGTTATCAAAAGGGATTCTTTGGGCCAGGTGTGGTGACTGATACCTATAGTTCCAACACTTTGGGAGGCTGAGGTGGAAGATCGCTTGAACCCAGGAGTTCAAGAGTAGCTGGCACAATGAGACCCTGCCTGTACAAAAAATACAAAAAACAGCTGGGCGTGGGGGTGCACGCCTGTAGTCACAGCTTCTTGGGAGGCTGAGGTGAGAGGGTTGCTTGAGGCTGGGAGTTGCAGGCTGCAATGCGCTATGATTGCCCCACTGCACTCCAGCCTGGGTGACAGAGTAACACCCTGTCTCAAAAACAGAAAAAACAAAAAAGGGATTTGTGTGTGTGTGTGTGGCCTTCAACACTGTGATCATCAAAAACAGTAATTGTGGCCAGGCCCGGTGGCTCATGCCTGAAATCCCAGCCCTTTGGGAGGCCAAGGTGGATGGATCACTTGAGGTCAGGAGTTCAAGACCAGCCTGGCCAACATGGTGAAACCCTGTCTCTACTAAAAATACAAAAATTGGCCAGGCATAATGGTGCACGCCTGTAATTCCAGCTACTCGGGAGGCTGAGGCACAAGAATTGCTTGAACCTGGGAGGCGGAGGCTGCAGTGAGCCGAGATCGTGCCACTGCACTCCAGCCTGGGTGATGGAATGAGACTCTGTCTCAAAAAAATAATAACATTTTTTTTAAAAAATAAAAAAGGTAATTCTATTACATATGAGGAATGGAACAGCGACTGAGTGACAGAGACTTGTCCTCAACAGGCCACAAAGTTATTCTTGTCACCGAAAAACAAAAACAAAAACAAAAAACTGTAATTTGAAATATGCAGCCACCAAAAATACTAATAGGAGAAGAAAATAGAATGAGGAGAAAAGCTGAATGAACTGTTTCTGGCCCATCTGGATCCTCCGGTGCCAAATAAGACGGCTTTCTGCAGGAGAAATGGCCCAATGGTGCTAGAAAGATGCTCTCCGTGCACTGAGTGGCTGTCTAGGCTTCGGGGAACCAGAAGGCAGTTAACACTAATGTGGAAAATAAAAAAGGGAAATCGCTATCTGGGTTTCGGCAAATTCTAGGTGGTCATCCTGAAGCCTGGAACTAACCCCCACTATTTCTCAAGCAGCCTCAGAGAATGACACAGAAAATGACCTGCTTCCAAATAGTCTGCCCTCTCTTTGCATGAGAAAGCGAAGAATTGAGGTAGTGATATTAGCCATGCAAAAATCATTTAAGTATATGAATTCACCTATCATTCTACCTCCCCTCCAATTCCACAGCTTATGTAAAATGATAGTAAACCACAGAATTTTTTCTGTCTTTTACACAGAACCAGGACGGATTCACGATCAGCCTAAAAGCCAAAGCAGCCTATGACTCTTGTATTACTTCAATTCTCTGAGTGACTTTACCTTCTCATAAAAACTCATAGTGTCTCTAGGTAGAATCTGCCTGCCTTCCCATTCTTTCTGCTATTCCTTCTTTATTTACAGCAAAGGAAAGGCAAGACATGCCAGAAAAATTAGGAAAAGTGGATTGATTACTTTGTCCAAATGTGAGTCACTCAAATGAAGACAACTGAAGATGCTGAAAAATCACCTCCACCTCGTGACATGAACTCTCTTGATAGGACTACCAAAGTCAGAACTGAATGCATCAAATGTGAGAGCAGGTTTCTGATTTTCTCAGAGAAAATAACTTCTTAAAATTATATGAGAAGTATTAACAAAGACCCTCTGGAGACAGCCCAGAAAAAGACCAATCGAAATGATTAAGAAGATGGAGAATAAATCCCGTGAGGAAAGGTTAAAGGAAGTGGAATTGTTTAGCCTGAAGAAAAGGTAAGGAGTAATTTCATAAAGCCCCTCATATGTGGAAGAAGCTGACCAGCTCTTCTCCGTGTCCAGAGAAGACCAAATAAAAGGAAATTGGCTTAAATTAAAGGCTTAGAGATGTGAGTTTAATAGAGAGAGACATTCCTTAACTTTCAGGATGACTTTTTAGAGAAACGGACTGGGCTGCCATACATCGTGAATTAGACCGGAAATTTTCCGGAAGAGACAGCCATCTGTCCCAAAATAGTTTAATCTCTGCGATGCCAGAAAAGAATGGCCTGGAAAACTGTCTCAGCAATATGACTCTGAAGTTTGTTTATTCTCCAGAATACTTGCTTCTTTCATAGCCAGCATTAAATTCTCCTAAAAAGTTTATTTCTGAAGCCTCAGGAAAGAACAAGTCACATAACTGTAAAAATGAGGCAGGTTCTGAATTTAACACAAAAATGCTTTCACTTAAATTGCTCTTACAGCTTAATGACATGCTATGGTTTAAAAGCATGGCGGCTTCCTTGTTATTAACTTAACTTGCCCCAAGATTTTGAAGAAAGGATGTGATGGTTCTGGGAGTGAACTGATGACCTGAACGATATTATATTGTCAACCGGATCACAGTTGCTCTTGACAGTCATACAAAAGAGGGAAAGGAGCACAAGCTTAGCATACTCATCAAATGTCCTTCCGTGGGTTGGCGGCATTCACTAAAACCCTGTCATTTTTCTAAGTTAAATGAAATTCACCAGTGGCCTGTCTCTTTGGTAACTGGCATGCTTGGCCAATGAGTTAAAAACCTCCAGGAGTCTTGGATTGGTGAGAGGAGTCTACATTTCTCACTTTGGAAAGTGGGCTGTGAGGAAATCTACCGATACATCATTACACGGCAACTTCAGTCTGTCTCTGGACCCCAACCCTTGCCTTGGACCTCCACTTTGTTTGATTCCAAAAGGTGCCATAAGCCCACCATGAGAAAGTGTCCCCTAGAGTTGTGCAACATGGAAGTCATGCTGGAGCCATAGAACAAACCATACAGACAAAGTTGTGTCTTTCTGGGCCTTTGACTGGTCCATATGTTTGGTGCGTAATCTGTTCTACTTTTCTAGATCTGGTTAACAGCGAAACAGTGATCCTTGAAAAATATACATGAGATCACGTCATGCCTCTGTTCAATACTTTTTAACAGCCTCCCATCCTTAATGGTGGGGCCCTTTTAATCCGGCCTATGCCTAATTCTCCAAATTCAAAACCCTTACCCCTGCTACCTGGGTACAAAATCCTGTTTTTAAACCCTACTTGCTAAATGTGTGACCTTGGTCAAATTATTTAATCTTTCTGTGCCTCAGTGTCTTTATTTGTACAATGGAGGTAACAGCACTACCTCCTTCTTGTGGTTTTTGTAACTATTCAATGAGTTGTGATATATAAAGTATTTGGAATAATTCCTGGCACACAGCAGGTACTCGGTAAGTACTATCACTACTGTAATTATTATTTTATGAGGACTGTGGTAACTACAATTGTAGTCTAAGCTTATGACAACTGTAAAATACTATCAACCTTCCCTTCCTTATCCCCCTTGTATTTATCAAACCTACTACATGCCAGGTACTTCTTTAAGTACTTTACAGACATTATTTTGGTTTCCAACTTCTTTTTAGCTTAAAGTAACGACATTAGAGTAGCATTACAAGAACACTCTTATATCATGAACACTAGCAGGCAATATTTACTGGGTGCTTATTACACGCAAGGCATTGTGCTGAGACTGGTATGTGCTTTCTCTCACTTAATCCACAGAAATCCCATGAGGCTGCTGGTAATATTATGATTAATAGCAGTATTAGTATTAATGTTACTGACTAGTAAGGAAATTGGGCTTCGAGGCATTGAGTAACTTGCCCAAGATCACCGATATGGTTTGGATCTGTGTCCCCACCTAAATCTCATGTGGAATTGTAATCCTCAGTGCTGGAGGAGGGGCCTGGCGGGAGGTGATTGGATCATGGGAGCGGAATTCCCCCTTGCTGTTCCCATGACAGTGAGTGAGTTCTCACAAGATCTGGTTGTTTAAAAGTGTGTAGCGCCTCCCCTTTCTCTCTGTTCTTCCTTCTCTAGCCATGTAACGCATGCCTGCTTCCCGTCTGCCACAACTGTAAGTTTCCTGAGGCCTTCCCAGTCATGACTCCTGTACGGCCAATTAAACCTC